CCTCAGTTAGGCAATGACAGGGTCTCCAATTTCTGCTTCTTTAAGCAACCAGGTTCTCATAATCTCCCAGCACCTATATCTTCTCCAATCACTAATTCTACCTCCTCCTTTAGAGAGAAATAAGAAAAGAATGGGGACTGTTATTCCAAGGTCATAATTGGAATGTCATATTTCCCATTCTGGTAGCCACAGAGCAATAAAGGAAAACATTCACCTCAAGTTTGAAAATTTTTAAAGTGATTAGGAACTCTTTCCAGATCCAAGACATTCACAAGCTTTAAAAAAAAAAAAAAAAGAATGAGCACATAATGATTTTGGTTGGCTTTCTCTTTTAATCAAAAACATACTTTGTTACAGAGTTCTCAAGAAGATTCAACTATTTTTTTTAGCCACAGACTTCAACCCGGCAAAAGTATACAGAAAGCCACAAAGGAACTAACTGGAGCTTCAGCTGACCAGTTTTCCCAAAAGCAGAAGCTAAGAGTGGCTCTTCTCTGGGTTTTGGCATAGCTGTATTCCTTGGGCTTTGCGGGAGGAGACAGAGTTGGGAAATACCATCACCAAATCTGTCCCTAACCCCCTAGTCACTTATTCCAAAATGGGCTCTTCAGTCCACCAGGTTTTCGTCATCCATAAGCATTCACACTTTTTCCTTAAATCACATATTCAATCCATTACACAAAACCCCAAATTGGAGGAAGTTTGCTAACTCCATGGTTAGCCATTTAACTAATCCAAGCCCATGAGTCCTTCTATCAATGGCAAGCAGCCTTAGCAATAGCAGCTGGTTTCATCCCAACCTCTCCAGCTACCAGAGCTGGTCTCTACCAGGACTCCCCAACCCCCCACCTTCAACCCACCCTCAGAGAATTCTTCCCAGGTCCTTGAAAATGCCAAATTCATAAACTATCCTCATCTAGGAGTAAACTGGAAGAGAACTCAGAAAGGAATGACCCAGCCAAAAGTTGTCAAAATGGACCTAGAAAGAACCAAAATAAAAGTGAATTATCACCCACTGGTAATGTTTTGAATCATATAAACCATTTTAACAAATGCAGTTCAGAGGAATTACCACTTTGAGCACAGAAGAGTTAAGGAACCAAAGACCCAAAGTAATGGCCTCTCATACCATTAGGCATTAACAATAGGTTTTCGATCCATTTTAGTTGAAAAAAAACTACCAGTACAGAACACTTATAAGGATGGTATCATGCACATACTCTCTTAGAAGCTAGAATGTCATGACCCAGAAAAAAAGCCTTTATAAACTTTGAACAGAGATGATGGAAAAATGAAGGCTTTCCCCCTTCTCAGGTTTTTGTTCTTATAAAGTATTTATTGCAGCCCCTAAGGTGGTGCTAGGCCTTTGGTTAAAATTAAGTCTTAAGAACATATTATGTAACTTCTAGTCCACAGGAGAACAGTAATAACATAGCAAGCCTAATCTTACTTGAATAACTGGGGCGGGGGGTCGGGGAACGATACACACCTCAAACAGCAGAGTAGGTAAGAAAGAAATACAAAACTGCTGCAAGGTAGGCAAGGTCACTTAGAATTCAGAGCTGGAAGAATTAATCTAGTCCAACTCCCTCATTTTACAGATGAGGCAACTGAGGCCCAGAGAAGGTAAATGACTTACCCAAGGTCACACATCAAATTAGTGGCAGAGCACAAACTAAAGAGTGCAAATGTCTGGCCTAACCAGGAGCCATTAGTTTCAGACTGAACATGAACATGAACTCTGGCCTTACTGAAAATGCTTCTTAAATAAACTATGTGAAAAGTACCCATATCCACAGAGAGAAATGATTGTCTTCACCTAAGTTTTCTCCTTAGTCTTCCCACATTAAGGGGTGTGTGTGTGTGGGGGGGGGGTCCTTTCATTCATTCAAGTCTGATGTTAAAATCCCTGAAAACATCAGCGGTTACTTTAGTTACTCCTTGGGGCAGGTTATCAGTCACTCAATTTTCATAAAGGCACCTGTAGGTCAAAAGTATAGAGGAGGAAGGCAGAGCTGAGAGAACACCAAAACAAAACAAAAAAGACCCTCTTAATTTCTGAAGTTTGTGTTGTGTGTCTAGTTTGCTGGTGTCCTCTAAGCAACAGTACTGCCTCTGGCTGTTGATGCTAATTTTGGAACCTTTGTAACCCCATTTTTTGTATGAGCAGCACTTAATTGGAAACAATAAAACCTTTCAAAACATAAGGGGGAAAATATGAATATGACTCATTTCTCTCTACCTCAACCACCTGAAACTCAGCAAGAATCAGAGAAGAGTGGAAGTAGTCAAACTGATGTCAAACGCCAATGCACTGAAGTCCTTTTCAACACCTGACAGAAGAACGTCTTTTGAGTCCTGTCCCAGAATTTGTACTTCCATTTTAAAGAAAGATCTAAAAATTCTGGTTATCTGGTTTCCTTGCTCAAGCAGTTAGAAATAATAGAAAGGAAAGAAGAAAATATTAAGGAGAGGCACACAGGAAACGGCAGCTATCAGAAAGAAAAAAGTCCAGAAGAGAAAAAGTAGGGTTAAAATGACTGAAAATTCAAAACCAGAGCAGTCTGGGACCATTTAGTAAAGAGAAAACAGTTTTGTCTAATCTTAGAAGCTCCTGAAGTCTACACAGACAGCTAAGTACAAAAGAAATGTTATATTCAGTATATTCTCTGATATACAGATTGAATAACTCCATCAAAAAAATAGCTTAAAAAGTTTTACTGCTTAGTAAGGCAAGTTTGTGGAAAATTTCATCCCATAGTGATACCAGATAAACAACCTAGCAACACTGGGACAAGTGCTAGGAATAAGGCTGGGCCACGGATGCTAATAAGAATAAGGCCACTGACTTTTTACATCCTTCTTAGTATATTAATTAAGAGAAGAAATTACGTAGTTTTCAGAAGGAAAAGAATGGAAAGACTTGCCTAAGATCCTCCCAGCCTATTCTCAATAATCTTGCAAAGCAGGATTTAGAAGATTATTTACAGACTGCTACCTGCAACAAGATGAGTTTTGCCTTAATTTTTTTTTTTTTAATTTTTAAAGGCATTTCTTCACGCAGTGTTAGCTGCTAATCTCTGCCAGGTCCCACCTACAAAAGTTGTTAGCCAACTTCACATGTAATTACTCTCACGTAGTCATTTACCTCATAACCTAAATTCACCATTTTGCCAATTTACTGTCATTAAATCAAATGCTAATAAAATGACTGATGAAGGAAGCAAACTATAGAATCAGTTAAAAAGAATTCTTCCCTTTTCAGAGAATAAAACTGCTCCTTCAAAAAGGGTTTGAACTTAATTGACTTTGCATAAAACAGCTAGTGACTCTTAACCAGTTACCACCAGATCAGGAGCAAAAATATTTTGCCTCCAGAGATATTTAGGGAGTATTAGGGGGAAAATGTAAATTTTCGTTTCCCAGATGGCCATAATCAAAAAGATACCTGCAATTCACCTTCCTACAATTAACAATAAACTTTTAAAATAAGAATTTATCATAAGAAAGACAGGATATTTTACTTTTCCTCCAAAACTGCAAAATTACTATTACAAACCATACCATCCTCCCTCATAAAAATGGTTTTTTAACTTTGAAATAAGACATAGCCAATAATGTGGTGTTTGCTTAAAATTCCAAGTATTATTTTTACAACACAGATAATAATGTGTTGTTTATCTGGATGTTCGGGTATAGTTAAACTTAAGCAAGATCCTTCAATCTGTAACCCTGTACCATTTACAGGAAGAATAGGATTGGCAACCTAGTTAGTGGTTACAGCAATCCAAGCAAGCCATGTTTCTAGAAAAACAAGGTTATATGGCAGTGATTTATCATCATTATCTTTGTATACCAGGGGCAGTAAATTATTAAAAAAAAAAAAAAAAGACTCAACCCACAAAAACATCTGCTCCTTGGCAAAAAAGGCAATCCCCTTAAGAATTCCCTTTGATAATGCACATAAAGGCACAAGACAAAAGTAGAATGGGTTTCTCTGGATGTACCTGGTTCATCTCTTTCAGCTTTCACTGGAATTCAACATTCTGAAAGACTTTGAGATATGAATTAGCTACAGAAACCCACCTAGAACCATACCCACATTATAATCAAACTCTAAGAACTGTAGAAACTATTTTATCCTAAAGTAGACGTAAAGTTGTAAGCCTAGTGAGAGTCTTTAGTCTTACTCAGAGATGACCACCTCTAAGAAATTGAAATACAGTTTAACAGCCACATTGTCGGGAATAATTCATAACATATTAAATATTTTCTCAAAAGCATGTGACAATCTAGGTACAAATACAAGCAACTAATAACTAAAAGTATTTCTATATTTTATGGCTCTTAGTAGAAAGAAACCAAGAATGGTAGCTTGGCTTTGAAAAGATATTTCTCAGCAAATATTTTCCACATATGTTATGAAGATGATTAAACATGAAAACCTTCCTTAAAGTAGAAAAGGAAGCCACAGGTTATACCACTGCATGGTTAAGATTCTAATTAAATAATCTGGATTTTTTAAAAAATCTGTTATTCTAAAACTCTCTCCTCTCACTCCTATTCCTCATTCATAGGAAAATGGACCTACAGATAAAATTTATAGGGAAGATATTCTTTTATAATTCTGCCCAAAAAGAAACCCTGAAAAATCACCAAATTTACAGTTGAAAATTGGGTCTTTACCAAAAGTACCTGTGAATACTCAAGAGAAGTTGTTTTAAAAATAAGACATGTAATTTTGATCAAGAGCTATATTTCATCACAGCAATAAACAGTGGTTTCTAGAACTGTCTTATTAAGACCTTCTGAGCAAGGCCAAAGACTTGTTCATTTCAGCTGATACAGGAGGGCCACTATGCCTAAGTGTTTCTAGAGTTCAAATGTATAACACACCTTAAAGAATCTTTAAAAGCTTACAGAAGTCCTCTAAGCAAAAACTAAAAACATCTGAAAGATAATCCTTGATTTTATTTCATACTACTTTATCTTGTAGACAATCTATTTTCTATTGACAAACAGGCTTTTTTTTTTTTTTTGTGCTACAGTAAAAGTTTAAAACAAAGCAAACAAAACAAAACAAAAAAATACTCTACACACGATAACAACATCCATGGGAAAGTCCTGGTAGAGTGTGAAGGAAAAACCAAAGCTGCCCAATACAATTGGCTGTTGCCTGTCACTTAGTAGAAGGTGTCTTGCCACTGAGATTGGACTCAAAGTGCAAAAGAACAAAATTTTAAAAATCAAACCTAGAGTTCAACTTGAGATTCAGTTTTATTTATGCTACTAACTAGGTAAAAAGCATACATATTATGTCTGTGGTACAGTCAATACATCTGCAACTTTTCTACTTAAATTCTCTATACAAAGTCACTGCCGATTGTTATGATCAATGATGGCAAAGGGCTTAGAATAACCAAAAGATATAAAAAAGTTTGCAGTCTTGCCCCAAGATACAAAAACTGAATTTTAAACAATATCATAACATACATGATTTAAACGGTATACCAAAAAAAGTCACACATCAAATCAAGTACAAAAATATCCAAACTACCTATTATGAACTGCAATGTTTCCATTATTCTGCACAGTATTTAACAGAGAATTTAGCAGTTTCCAACACACTCATTATTTAGTCTAAGCACTGCACCATTGTAGAACAGTGAGATATTAGGTAGAGTGACACTGCTTTTAGTGTTTTTTTTTTTTAAATACAAAACCTTTCCCTATGAATTAATGAAGGAAAGAAAAGAAATTCCTCTTCTAGGCTTCTTAGAAACCACCCTTGTGCCTAGATATACAGAAGAATATGACTACTGTTTAACAGGGCAAAAGTGTACTTCTTGATAAACAGTCACCCAATAGGGATAACAAATTCAGTATCTGTTACATTTCTTTGTCTGGTAATTTTAAGGAATTCTCAATATACACACAGATTAGTGTTTTGCCTTGGCAAAAATAAAACTGAAGTTGCAAGACAATCTGAATTAAAATCATCTTCACTAGTTTAACTTGCAAAAAAATATTTTGGATAAAAGGTTATAATACATTACTATCTTATTTTTTAAAATACAGAGTAAAGTTGCTCTTGGTAAAATTAACTCACCTGCATGGCACAATATTTTGGAGTAAAGTATGTTCAACAATAACAATTTGCACAAAAAATAACATAGGTGAATTAACTTTGAGAACTTCTCTGTCTTTAAAATCAATAATATTGAATTTATTCTGTAGAATAACACACATACCAATGTTCTGCACATAAAAGGTTCCAAGACATTTTAAAGGGCTAAATTTTCCAGCACTGGAATGACTCCTTCATACATAACTGATAAAGACTTAGTAAGAATGAGTTCTTCCTGATCTTCAAAGTCTGCCCCATGCCTGAAAAGTTCTAAATAGGAAAAAAATTGTTTTAATCCAGTTTCTGTCTGCTAGGAGCAAGGCAGCAAACACATTTCAACCCTTTATGAAAAGATAAAGCAGAACAAAAATGAAATAGATCTTCAGGTTACAAACAGGATTGTATCTTATAGTCCACCATCCTGATAATGTTAAGGGCCCCCACAGTGAGAGACCTCAGTCTAAAGGCTGTGGGTCTGCAATAGGCATGGTGTGAAGTACTTCATCTAGGAGCTGGAGGGCCCGGTGTAAGTGGATCTCAATCCAGCAAGGCGTTTCTTTGATACTCTGTCTTGGATAATCCGGTCCCCAGCCTTTCACAAAGCTCATCCTGAGTATGCATAAGCGACGAAGATCATCAACACCAATGCCAGCAGCAGCTGAGAGACCTAACAGAAAAAGTTTGGAAGACGTTAGAGGAACATGGTGATCTCTTCCCATCCTCCCTACATTCTACTTTATTTTCCTCAGTATAAAATTTCTCTGTCAAAATGGCAAAAGGTAACAGTAGAGCTAAACCTTATCAATAGGAACTGAAAACTTTTGGTTAAGGCAGTTTACATTCCACAAGTGTCTTCTACGTATTTCCAATTATAAAGTAAATTACTATAATCCAATAACACCCCAGCTATTTTTCTCATTAGAAATGGAGGTGAAAGGATAAGAAACTTGCTTTTAAGAGGTAGTATACATAAACAGGTTGATTCTAGGAACCTTACTGTTTATCTAAGCAGCCTATTTTACAGTAAGACATGACTAATAATGAGAGTTAATATGCCTAGCTCCACTAATACATCTTAGATGACCCAGATGATGGTTTATCTTGCAATTTCACAGTATAAAATATGCAATGGGGGCAGTTAGATGAGAATAAGAAAGTGAATACTAGTTCTGAATTCTTTAGGAAAAAACATGTTTATAACATCAAAGCTAGCAAATTAATCGTTCAGGTGCTCGATTTCTTTTTTAAAGATGAAACTCTCAATGAATGTCTTATCTATGTCTAAACTGTAAACTCCTGAACACAATGGAGACTCTGCATCTAATTTTTCAGTCAAAACACACAGTCATATAGTCATCTGCATATATCAATATTACCATGAAACTAATGGGAAGAATTTGCATGTACTGTAGAGAAACCTGCAGGGCCACTGCAGTTTTCTTAGCCAGTGTGATTTGCTTACCACACTGAAGAGGTTAAGAACAGGGGTTGAATGAATCACTAGTTATGCCTTCAGACGTGGAAGATGGGTGCCACGTGTTTCCATCATAAAAGTCTATAGTCAGGAGTTTAACTCTGCAGTAAAAAATTCCCCATCAGTGTGAAACCTGGCACACAGTTCAATTTTACCCTAAAATTAAAAAAAAGTCTACAAGTTATCAAAATACCACCCTCACTCAGTTTTCTCTCCATGCTTAGCATACTTTAAAAAAAAAATCAGAGAGGTGTCCAATTTTGAAAATGAAATATGCTTTTCTTAGAAGAATAATGCCAAGCATTTCAATGATTATAACCCACCCTGACTGGTGAGGCAGAAATCATTAAAAAAAATCAATAAAAAGGGGGAGACAGAACAATATAATAATAGCCCCCTTTATCCCAAACTCCCTTTTGATACAAAAAGAACACAAATGGCTCTATCCTAGACAAGGGCAACTATTATCATCCCAGGGGAAAAAAAAAATATTTCTATTACTGCTTAAGGGAACTGATCAACTGAGTGAATCAAGATAAAATGCCACTATTATATTAAAAAAAAAATCAAGAGCATACTTACTGATAGCTGGAGCTATGCCACCTACTGATCCTGGACCAGGGATGTTTCCTGCCACGGCTGCTGCCTGGGCAGCTGCTGCAGCTTGTGCAGTGGCCGCCTGCTGCTGCATCTGTCGATGACACTGACGCAAATCAAAGACCTTTCAAAAAAAAAAAAAAAAATCTGTTTAATGTTATGAACCCATTGGAAAAGATTTAATACATCAAAATCCAATGAGTAAGTTATTGAAAATTCACAGCTTCATTTTACCTCCCACTAGATGAGATTTAACTAAAAATTTTAATTTCTATATAGATTATAACTAGAATAACACTAGTTAGGAAGGCTGGCTTAGAACTCACCAAAAGGAACATTTTACTATTAGGAATCTGGCTGCCACGAACTTCAGCATTCTTTACCTAGTTAAGTGTGGGTCCGCTGTACTGTCCTTGTGAAAAGCCACCTATCTGTGAAATTACCCCCTCTTCATAACCAAATTGGTGAGTTGTCTCTAGGTTGGAGTTGATGGCTATAGTCTCCTGGTCAACATCTTTTGTTCCCATTCTTTATCATTTCTGGAGTTCATTGAACTAGTTTATGTTTGAAAATATTTATGATTTTAAAAGAAAAAAAAACCAGCTTTGAATCCCACCTCTGATATCTGCTTATTATATGTGTTAAGTTTTTTAACCTCTCTGGAGCCTCCTCAATTTTCTTATCTGTAAAATGAGTACTAAGTGTACATACTTTCATAGGGTTACTGTAAACTTGGCAGAGTAAACTGTCAATAAATGTTACTTATTATTTTGTTCTTGGCCTCACCAGTAGCCATCTTTCGGTATGTGTTAAGGAGGAGCTGGCTGACCAGTAATTCCAGTGTTCTCTTTCAAGGAAGCCAAGGACTGGTATAGTAAGAAAGGGACTGATGTCACTTTTATCATGAAAATATTGCCATGTCCTTTCAATACACAACAAATTATGGATAATAGTTCATATCACTCTTTCTGGGAAAAAGCCAACATCCTAAAATAATACATTTATTTGCAAGTTTAAAAAGCACTAGAAGATTACACAAAAGCTGTCATCTAGGAAAAGAAGATGAGGTGGAGGGTAGAAGCAAGGCTGCTCATGTCAACCATTTTTTAAATCATTTTAATCTCTGAAACCATGTAGTCACATTCCCTATTCAAAAGTCAACCAGTTGTTTAAAAATTCTCTGGTGGGCTGGGGTTGTGACTCAGCGGTAGAGCGCTCGTTCGAGACCCTGGGTTGGATCCTCAGCACCACATAAAAAATAAATAGATAAAATAAAGGTATTGTGTCCAACTAGAACTAAAAACTAAATATTAAAAAAAATTATCTGGTATGCAGCTAAATGAGCTGCACAGAAGCAAACTTAATTACGATTAAAATAAAAGAAACAGAATGCATAACTTACTATTTGGTGATAGACAACAGCTTTAGAACCCAAACCATAAATTTTCAAATGCTTGAACAAGTTCTGATGGTCTTCAACCACAGTATTTACATAAACCATAACAATATACAATAGTAAATCCCTCCAAGTAGCAATCATATTCCTATTTATTTTTCTACTCAATAGCTATCTTATGAAAAAATCTTTCTTGATTAGTATCAATGAAATACAAAACTTAGGACTATCCTATTCTTTAAAGAGATATGATTTTTTCAAATATACATGTATTACCTGACAAACCTACAAAGTCCTAAAAAAAACTTCAAAACAGAGATCATGATAAAGTTGGGTTCTAGAAATCAGAAATCTCACAATGCCCCCAATAAAAAGCAGGACTTTCTCAAGATTTCATTAGACTGTGAACTTCTCTACTGGGCTATGACCATTAGAAGGCATGTTACCTAGCATGGCACAAAGCAGGCATAAACATCTTAAGAGCTGAATAGATACATAAACACTTTAAGAAAGAAGAAAATTAATAAACTACTTTTTAGAGTAGTTTTAGATTCAGAACAAAACTGAGCACTTAACATTCTTGCTATTTGAAGGAATTTAACAAACAGCATTGTCACTACATAAGAAACATCAGGGTTGGGGTTTTATTTCCCCCACCCTCATCCCTGAACCAGGGATTGAACCCAGGGATGCTTTACCACTGAGCCACATCCCCAGCCCTTTTTATTATATTTTATTTGGAGACAGGATCTCAACTAAGTTGCTTATGAACTGATTTTTCATCAAACCTCATTTAGATAATACTTTCTTAAATATGACATTAAAAGCAACCAAAATAGAACTGAACTATAACAAAACTAAAAATTAAAAAAAATTTTAGTGTTACAAATCAGATTATTAAAAAAGTGAAAGGATTTCTCCATTTGTACTTTTGACATTAACAAAGAAATCAGCAAGATACTGGTAGCAGCTGCTCCTTCAGACCAAAACACCTAAACCTAATGTTAAACCTGGAATATCAAAACCACACTGAACCATAGACTGACTTGTTGAATTCCTAGGAACTAGAAAAGGGACAATCTTTGTAAGACAGCCTGGTCCCTCAGTCAGCTTTCCAGATCTTTTCCCATAATTCGGCTTTCACTGGCAGTTTTTTGGTAAGAGAAGGAGGGCACTGAACAACCTTAATCAGAATAGGCTCAAAAGCTCCCCACTGCAGCTATTAATGTCCTTTAAACCCCCAAGAGGTTTAAATACTTGCAAATCATGCATTGATAGAGACTAGTACTCAGAATATAAAATATTTTAATGCCAATAAAGAGAAAACAAAAGTCAAACATTTATTTCATTTAAAGCTTTGAACTTCCTTGTGTCTTTGAAATTATGCACGCATATGATATGAGAAGTAAGATACGTCATGCCCATGTAGAAGCCTTTACTAGCCAGTGATTAATTTGCTCTCTTTTTCCTCCAGGCTCAGTAATGCTGGAGACTCCCGGAATGAGGACAACATGGGAAGAATCCTTACCCAATACATGATAGGCAGTATGATTGAGAAATAGAACTATGCTATTTGAAGTCACCAAAATTTTAGAACTGATAATACTGCCTTACAACCTAGCATATTCTGATTGTAATGGGATGAAACTTGGAGAACTATGGGAGAAGGTGAGCCCATTTTGCATGTGAGAGCAACATGAACCACTAAGAGCCAGAGGACATGTGGTAGATGAATCCCAAAGATTCTCATCTCTTGGCATTCACATACTTGCATAATACAAGTCTCTCCCTAAATGTGGGCTGAACCTGGTGACTTGATTCTGATAAAAAGAATGCGCAAACGTGATGGAATGTTAATCATGAGATTTGATTACTTAAAAAAATAAAAATGTGGCATCTTTCTTGTTCACCCTGTCTCTTTCATTCACTTGGAGCCTTGGTCCAGGGAAAGTCAGCTGCCATGTGCTCAGCAGCACTACAGAGAGGCCTACAAGGCAAAGTATTAATTTCTATGGCTTATATCAGGTCTTAAAACTACTCTAATTCTGGCTGATACCTTGATTGCAGTCTTATGAGAGATCCTGACCCAGAGATACCCAGTAAGTTACCTCCACCTGTGACCCAGAGAAATATATGAGATAATACAAGTTTATTGTTAAGAAAGAAAGGAGGGCTGGGGTTGTGGCTCAGTAGTAGAGCACTTGTCTACCATGTGTGAAGTACTGGGTTTGATTCTCAGTACCGCATACAAATAAAAAAAGAAAGAGAGAAAAGAAGGGAGGAAGGGAAAGAAAATGAAAAGACAACCCAAAAGATGGAAGAAAATACTTGCAAATCATGTATTGATAGGGACTAGTACTCAGAATATAAAAAGAACTCTTAGAACTCAATATAAAGAACCCAGTTGAAAAATGGTCAAAAGATTTGAACAGACATTTCTCCAAAGATATACAAATGGCCAACAGTACACAGAGATGCTTAACATTATTACCCAATGGGGAAATGTAAATCAAAATTACACTGAGACACTGCTTCACATCCTTTGGAAGGCTAAATCAAAAAACATATACAAGTGTTAATGAGAATGTGGAGAAACTGACACCCTCATATATTGTTAGTGAAAATGTTAAATGACAATCACTTTAGAAAAGTTTGGTAAATACACAGTCACCTTACAATAAAGCAATTCTACTTCTAGGTACATGTTCAACAAAATGAAAATATACATTTACCCAAAAACTTAGAAACAAATATTCATATAGCAGTAATATTTGGAATAGACATAAATAGACATAAATGAAACAACCCACAGATAAAACCCACCGTGAAGATCAGAGACTAAAGACAAAGGCACTAGGGATAACAAGACCATAAGCAGAGGTAAAAGCCAGGAATTCACCTTCTTGGAGTAATATGGAAAGGGACAATAGCCAAGCACTCTGAGGGCTACAACTAGCCACCTGCCCATCAACCAAGTGCTGGTAGAAATGCACATAGGAAAAAAATAATTGCCCATAGCAGAGGTTAAGTAGCAGAGAAACCTACACAATGAGAATTAGGCCCTGAGCATATCTGGGGATTGGAATGCAATTTCTTCAAAATCCCCCTACCTTGTGATTATAAGATTAGATTCTGAAATGTGGATGCCAGATGCCAGGCAAAATTGCCCTATGAGTAAAAGCAATTTCACAGGAAAAAATAAAAATTGAATTATTTCTTTCAAAACAAACTTGCCAACAAATACAAAATGGGTTACAAAGTATATAAGGAAACACAAAGCATTAAAAATACTAACAAGGGACATATAATCAAATATAAAAATTCCTTGTAGAAAAATTAGAAAAAAAACAAAGTAACTCCCAGAGATAGTTCCTGGTAGAACATTTTGCACAGACATTTTAACAAAAATGTGATCATACACTATTTATATGCCCTGAATATCCTATCAATAGATATAACAATAATTTATTATTCTATTCTATTGTTTTAATATACCAAAACTATAACTGATTCTCTATTGTCAAAAATTTTAACAGGGAATCACAGTGAATTTTGTTCGTTAAAAACAACATTGTGATTATGTTTTTAGAAGTCTTCATGAATTAGAAATTCATATGGAATTACTCTATAAGCCAACTAGTATAATCTTGGAATTGGTTTTAAATTACTCCAGGAGGATAAGGGTGGGAAAATTACATGAATAAACAAAGATTGGTAAAATGTTAGTAATTGTTGAAAGCAGATGATAGGTACATGAGGTTTGTTATTTTCTCTGTATTTGCTATGTTTGAAAGTTTCACATTAAAAAAAAAAAAAAAAAGACAATATCCTTTAACTGAACCATAACCAAAAATGGTATATTAGGTTCACCACTGTAAGGTAATTAAGCACTTCCATTTTCATAGTTTCTATCTAATTATAGTATTTGTATCTTATGCAACCTCCTAGGAATAAGTACTAAGATACAGTTAATTCCACTAATGTACAACAGCTGATAACAAAGATGTTCAGGATGACTGAAAAGTCTGAAATTAAAAACGTATTTGGCATAATCACAACCATTTTTCTCATCTAAGAACAGTGTATGTTATAAACAAAACTGAGTTGAATATGTAATTTGTAATAAGCAGTGAAAAATATCTCAGGTTTCTCAGGGTCTTGATTTGAAAAGCATTTGATTTTAGAATTCCCTTCCATAAAATCCCAAATATTGGCCAAGAAGAAAGTCTAGGCTGGTAGTGTAGCTAAGTGGAAGAGAACTTGCCTAGCTTGCACAAGATCCTGTGTTCAACCCCAGTCCCAGGCTAGGGTTGTGGCAGCAGTAGAGCACTTGCCTAGCATGTGTGAAGGCCCTTGGTTTGATCCTCAGCACTACATAAAAATAAATAAAATAAAGGTATTGCATCCAACTACAACTAAAAATAAACATTTCTTTTTTTTAAATGCCAGGTGTTGTGGTGTGCACACCTATAATCCCAGTGACCTGAGAGACTGAGGCTGGAGGATCACAAATTCAAGACTAGCCTCAGCAACTTAGTGAGACCATGTCTCAAAATAAAAAATAAAAGGACTGTGAATCTGACTTAGTGGTAAAGCACCCCTGGGTTAAATCCCCACTACAAAAAAAAAAAAAAAAAAAACCCTGAAATTGCAGTCTGGATTTTTGCCAATTTCCATGTCAAAGGAATATAAGTTTGGAGGTTTCATTCAATATTTTCAAGTCTATATTACTCCAAAAAATTTTAACAAATCTGTAAAAAAAAGAGAAAGACACAAAGGCAAGCCATGAAACTAGATATAACTGATATATCAATAAACACCTCCATGAAAGGTGTTTTCACATATACATCCACCAAACCCTAATTTTTTTTTTTTTTTTTTGTACCAGGGATTGAACCCAGGGGTGCTTAACCACTGAGACACATCACCACTCCTTTTTTTTATATTTGACTCATTGAGTTGTTAGAGATTTGCTAATTTGCTAAGGCTGTCTTTGAACTCATGATCCTCCTACCTCAACCTCCAGATCTTCTAGGATTACAGGCAGCTGGCTTTACAGGTATACGCCACTGCACCTGGCACAAGTTTTTATTATGTATCAATGTAAAACATTTTTCTATTCCTCTCACCTCCACTTCAGTTCTTGAAGCAACAAAGAGGTTTGTAGCCTAAAATATTCAAATTAAATTGCAACTAACCTTTATATACGCACTTGGGTAGATCTTATGAACAGCATCTCCAGGTGCACGTCCAGCTTCTCTGTCTAAGTAGTAACTCTGTACAAAGACTGCATGGTCACTAAGGCACCTGACCCAAACGTCACCTTCACCTTTACATTCCAACTGCACACCTTTGCCTATGTGCAACCTAGAAAGACAAACATTATATCTTAAGTATTCACAAATAAATTTTAGTTCAGATTATACTGCATATTCAATATTGAAAAATTAAAAAGAATAAAGAAAGAACATAATACAACACCATTATCAAAAGATAACCATGGTTAACTTTTTTATATTTCTTTCTTTTCCTATTTATATATAATAAAAATATACATGGTGCTTGCTATGTGTCAGGAACACTTAACATGAATTATAATTTAACCTTCACAACTAAATAAGGTACATACTATAATTTCTATATTTTATGAGTTACACTGTCCAGCAATATATGGCTATAATTAAAAATTCAGTTAATCACATGACTTTTTTTTTTTTTTCCACACCAGGAACTGAACTCAGAGGCAACCACTGAGTCACATCCCCAGCCCTTTTTATTTTTTGAGACAGGCCTCACTAAGTTGATAGGGCCTCACAAAGTTGCTGAGGCTGGCCTTGACCTTGAGATCCTCCTGCCTCACCCTCCCAAGCCACTAATATTACAGGTATGTGCCATCTTTGTATAAGCCATATTTTAAGCACTCAAAAGCTACATGTGGCTACTGGCTAGTGAATCGGACAATGCAGATATAAATCATTTCCTACATCTCAGAAAATTCTATCAGCCAGTATTAAGTAACTTGCCAAAGTTAGATAGCAAATGTAAAACCAAGATCATGTGTATACACACACACATCCTTTAACAGGTGAGATCAAATAGCCCAAATTATGCATTTTCACATCATCTTTTCTGTTTCATTATATAAACATTTTAATGATTAAAAAAATTGTAATGATTACATAAAAATAGGTTTATCATAAGCCACTTAACCATTTCCCTTTTATTACCAATTTTTCGATTTTTCATAACCTTCAGAAATATCTATTCTCATGATATATTATTTCCTCTCAATAGATTTGGAGAAAATAATACATTATCAAAGAAATTGAAATTTGGAATCTAGTTTTCAAAGGTCTAGCATTTAATAGAAACCTATCTTTTATCCTTACATATTAAACAAACATCTAAAATTAAAATGGAATGCTTAAAAATTCAGAATTTTCAAGGCAATATTTTTCCATCTTCATTAAATATAAATGAAGAAATAAACATTATCTCAAAAAGATAATGTATGGGGCTGGAGTTATAGCTCAGTGGTAGAGCACTTGCCTAGCAGGTAGAGGCACTGGGTTCAGTTCTTAGCACCACATAAAAATAAATAAGTAAATACATAAAATAAACAATTTTAAAAAGACAAATGTACTATGCTCAATTTTTTAAAATAACTATGGAACTATACAATCAATACCTCGCTCTTTCAATGGCTTCTGTCCTGTGGACATTGGAGAGTTGACCCAAGCAAAAGCGATCTCCTCCAGAAGGATCCACATATCCATCAACAGTTACAATAGGGCAGCTTGAAGGAACTTTAAATGTCTCTCCTACCTGAACGTCCATCTCAAAGTAAGCAATGGAACACCAATACTCAGGAGCTATAGGAAATAAACAAAAAAGAACATCCATCCATTTGAATATTAGGCCTTTACTTACACTCCATAGACAGCTTTTCCAAAAAGAAAGGGTAAAACAGGGGAGAGGGAAATGAAAAGCACCCCAAAGAATTGGATTAAAATAACACAGTGCATTAAAAAGTAGCAATTTCCATGTCTTCTGTTTTCCAGCTCAGTACCCAATACTGTTCTTCAAACCCTAAAGTCATTTTTAAAATCTGGAGTTTGATTAGGATGAGATCAACTGAAAAATATAAGGCAATAGAATCAGTCAACCAAGGAGTGAACCTTGGAAACAATAAGCCAAAATGAACTTTTCCTCCTCTAAATTGTTCTGGTCAAGTATTGGTCACAGTGATGCAAAGCTGACTAAAACAGCCTCTTTCCACTCTTTCACCCCAACGAATAAATGCCATATAAATATCAACTCTGCAGCTTGTCAAAACCAGCAAGAATAGAAGGCTGGAATTACTCAATTCAAAGAGGTTATTCTTAATGTTCCAATTCATTTGAAAGGGACTGAGAATTTTATGTGCTTACTTTGGTATTTTAATTTTTTCCCCTTAAATTAGTGAAGTCTCATTTAGTCTGTGGGGTGCTCATCACTGCCAGGAAAAAAAAAAGGTTTTGAAAGACTGAGTTGGGGGCTGGGGATGTGGCTCAAGCAGTAGCGCGCACGCCTGGCATGAGTGTGGCCCGGGTTCAATCCTCAGCACCACATACAAACAAAGATGTTGTGTCCGCCAATAACTAAGAAATAAATATTTAAAAAAAAAAAGAAAGAAAGACTGAGTTGGGCTAAGGATATATAAGTCAGTGGTAGGGAGCTTCCCTAGCATCTGCAAAATCTTGGGTTCAATGCTCAGCACTGTGATAAAAAGATATTGAGTTAACATAAATTTTTTATAATTAAGAATGTAATATATATTACTAAATATTTCTGTAAAGGGGAAATGTATTATAAAGCACAGTTTTAACAAGTAAATGTTCAATTATAATGGAAAGTACGTTACCAAGATATTATCTCTAATATATAAATAAAAATAAAGTCATTCAAGACAAAGTTCAAAATCTGAATACCTAAGAGTCACGTTATGAATTATTCCTTTTATTATTCATATCTGAATGAGATGCCCTGTGAGAATCTTATGAATATATAAGGTGCTCTCTGGAATGGTGGATTGCTCTAAAGTGCCAAAACATATCTGAATTTGTCAAAGTAAGGGTTTCAAATCCATTTGTGAATTTGAACACATCCAACCTGAAAGACACTGAAGAAACATTTTACTTTAAATTGCAATCAATATGATGAATATATCTCAACTGAGGCAGGAGGATTGTGAGTTCACAGCCAGCCTCAGCAACTTATCGAGGCACTTAGCAACTCATCAAGGCACTTAGCAACTCAGCCAGACCCTGTTTCTAAATAAAATATTTAAAAAGGGCTGGGAATGTGGCTCAGTGGTTAAGACCCCTAGGTTCAATCCTCAGTACCAAAAAAGAAAAATAAAAGAAATGGAGTGATTAACCTTTTCCAAATATGTAATTTTTATTTCTTTTCTGTTTGTTCACTAAATGAGGACAGAAGACATGTAAACTAATACTTAGCATTATTAGAAAGCACTAGGTAGCAGGGGACAAAGGATTAGTATTCTCAACAGTGGTGTGCTTGAGCTACATTTAGGAGGGCAGTTCTACAGAGAAGTCTATATGGAGAGAAACTGGAGCTTCCTGCCAATGATAACACAAACTAGACAGGTGTGGTGGTAAATCACCCTAAAAAGGAACCTTCCAGCCCCTAAAAAGCCTTCAGATGGTGACAACAACTTTATTGCAACTTCATGAGACTTCAAACCAGAAGTACTCAGCTAAACAAACTAATGTAACAAATTGCTATTACTGTTTTAACTTCTCAAGTTTTGGTATTATTTGGTATAATTTGTTGCACTGCAAAATATAGTACTATAGAACATATAATACATATGCAAAATATAACATATACACTAAAAAGGTAGAGAGGAATGATATACCCTGCAAAATTAGGTAAGTAGTGCAAGATGTTTAAAATATGATGAGAAAGAGCTAGAGAAGTATGCAGGGGCCAGACCAGAAACTCTCCTCTGCTTTGCTAAGGAATGTGGACTTTAATCTTATGGCCAAGCAATGAATAGGTAATAAACTGCTACTCAATACTTTTAAAATTTGAATATAGTTATGTTATTTCTCTTGAGCATTACTTGGTAAGGAGGAAGGTACCAAGACTGAAAGCTCTCCTATCAGAGAGACCAGCGTGAATATTCTTTCTAAAAGTATAAGAAAAGACATCAAGAGTCACAGTTATGAAGTAAAACTCCTTGGGGACCCATTAGTATCCATAGCCAAAGACCATCTATCTCAGTTCTAACCTACTGACTTCATTAAGATGGTATGGCCTAAACATTATAAGAACAAAGTTAACCTATCAAAAGGTCAAAGGAAGGGGCTGGGGTTGTGGCTCAGTGGTAGCGTGCTCACCTAGCACATTCGAGGCCCTGAGTTCAACAAGTAAACAAAATAAAGGTATTGTGTCCAACTACAACTAAAAAATAAATATTAAAAAAAAATCAATCTGCAATGGAGTCTATATCACTAGCTAAATACTACTACTACTACTCCCACTCCACTATTCCATCCAGGGTAGGTTCTTCTCTAGATCCCTAACTATCCATGTTCCCGGAGACCATCTCCCACTAAGCTACTGAGTCTCCAAAGGTGGTAAGAACCACTACTGATTTTTAATGATGCTACCTCAGTGCCAGCAAAAATTTTCATTCTTATGGCTCAACATTTTCTCCTTACCATTATATAGTTCCTTTACAAAAAAAAAAAAAAAAAAATTAAGATTGTGACAAAATGATCCAATTTATATAATTTCAAAAACCAGTAAAACCAAACTGCTAAACTAGGTTGTTTAGGGATGCTTTTTTTTTTTTTTTTGTACTGAAGATTGAACAAAAGAGCACTAAGGTATATAGCTCTAGTCTTTTTTAGTTTTTGAGACAGGTTCTAAATTGCTGAGGCTGACTTTGAACTTCCAATCCTCCTGCCTCAGCCTCCTGAATTACAGGCATATACCACTGTGCCCAATAAGCACACATTTATTACTTTAAGGGAGCAAAAAGAAAAAAATGATTTGCATAAAAAGCAGAATAGTGGTTACCTTTAGGGAGAAGAGAGGAAAAAATTTCAAAATGTAGATAGGAGGGTTTCTGGGGTACTGTAGTATTTTAGTTCTCAATCTGGGCAGCGGTTATGGCTTTAATATCATTCAATAGATGATATGCTAATGTTATGTTCTTTTCTATATATTACATTTCTCCAAAAACTGCTAAAGAAAAGGCAAGGCCACTTGATCCACAAAAAATGTTTAAAGTCATAACAAATATACCATAACACATACAGAGAATATCTATTAAAGAAGATAATTAAACTAGTATATACATAAAGTTTAAAAACTGGTTTTGGCCAGGCACAGTGGCTAACACTTGTAATTCTAGCTACTCAGGAGGCTGAAGCAGAAAGACTGCCAAATTCAAGGCCAGCCTTGGTAACTTGGTGAGACCCCGTCTCAAAATAAAAAATATAAAGGTCTGAAGATATAGCTCAGTAGAAGAGCACACCTGGATTCAATCCCAAAAGCCACAAAAAAAAAAAAAGAAAAATCTTTCTGTCCCACCACCATCTCCTAAAGAAAATAAATATTATTTACCTCATTAATCTTTAACCAGTTAAATTTACTGCTAGTGAGCATGGTTAAACTAATTCTCACAATCTTGATTATTAAAATTAATAATTTCTTAAACAAGGATAGTCATAAACAAAAAAAATCTTCCTTTCAATTATTTTTAAACAGCTGAAAAAATGGAATCAGCATACATAATCAGCAACAGCACACTATTTACACAAATAAAAATATGTAGAACTACATGAACTATAAGTTATCCTTTAAATTAATCATTTTGGTCACTGTAGTTATACATTTTTAGAATCTTTATTGGAAATCTATACAGTTGTCCTCCAGTATCCATGAGGGATTGTTTTCAGGGCCCTTTGTAGATATCAAAATCTGCAATGCTCAAGTCCCATATATCATCTTCCTGTATACTTTAAGTCATCACGTGTAGGTTATATGCAAACACTATGCCATTTTATATAAGGGACTTGAACATCTGCAGATTTGATATCTGAGGGGCATTTTGGAACCAACCTCCTGCAAATACAAACAGACACAACAGCATTCTCATCTTTTTAAACTAAGAAAAATCATTATGAAGGGATGAAGGGAGAGGGGCTTCACAACAGGGGAACTTCAATATTTATTTTATTACTTTGTTTTATTACTTCTATGATTGAAAAAAAAATCATGTACAAGCTCAATTAAAGAAAGCTACTTAGCTACTTAGTCTTCTGAACATAATTTAATCATATAGTTTCTAAATTCCAGTTAAGGAAAGACTCTTGAAATCTTCTAAGACAAGATACAATGAATTATTTTTCTTTTCAGCATCTATTTAAGATTCTTTCCTGCCTTTTAAAGCTACAGTTTTACAGTAGTTCTATTTCAAAACCTAGTTTTATTCTACTGTATATTTATGTATCCAATGCTGAAACCAGCATTTCTATACTTTATATTTTAGTGCAAACAGAATTCTTGTCTTTTTTTTTCCCTACCTTTTTTTCTGGTAGTGGGGGTGGGGGAGGTACTGGGGATTGAACTCAGGCATTCAACCACTGAGCCACATCCCCAGTCCTATTTTGTATTTTATTTAGAGATAGGGTCTCACTGAGTTGTTTATCACCTCACCATTGCTGAGGCTGGCTTTGAACTTTCAATCCTCCTGTTTCAGCCTCCTGAGCCACTGGGATTAGAGGCATGAGCCACTGCACCTCGTGTTGTCTCTTCTTTCCAAGACAATTAAAATGAATCAAATATAGCTGGGCATGATAGTTCACATCTGTAATCTAGCTATTCAGGAGGCTGAGGCATAACAGGAAGATCTTGAGTTCAAGGATAGCCTGGGCAAAATAGCAAGGCCCCATCTCAAGGAGGAGAAAAAAAAATTATCAAATACAGTCTATATATGATTTTATTAGCTACTCATAAATACTTAACTCACATAATGAGTATTACTCTTGTCTGAAAAGCTAACTTACCTGGTAATTACGGTAACACCTGTATGTGTATTCCAATTACCACAATGGAAAGCTAAACATAGGGAATCAATTTTGAAACACACTTACCAGGATGATTGGAAATGGGAGGCTGGAATGCAAGTTCATTGTGAACTGGCCCTAAAGAAAAGACAATAAAAATCCCATTTTTATTTATTAAAAGTTTCCCAATGCTAAAACTTTTAATAAATCTTACTATTACCTTATGATTTGTTAAAATCAAGCTTAAACAATTTCTAAAACTTAAAAGCTTAGTTTAGATTACTTTATAATTATAAGCAAATACTTCTGAATTACTTTTGTGGATATATAACAACTAACACTTTAGTGCTATCTGCCAAATGCTGTTAAGCAATTTACAAATAGTTTTATAAGCAATTTGCAAATAATTTTTCATGCAGTATTTAATGCAGATTATAAATGAATTATTCGTGTAACATGTAATATAGAATAATTTATAAGAAAATAGTAATAATTTAAATCATTAAAACTATTCTAAAAACAAGACTGTGTTTATTAAGGATATTTATACAATGGAATAGTAGCTAACAACTGCAAAAAAACACAGGTGAATTATTACATTTTCTTACAACACTATTGAGTACCCTTATAGGCTTATGAGGTTAAATAAGTTGCCAATGATCATACAGCATAACCCAGCACTCTTAAACACTATGCTGATCCAGGCAGCCATTAAAACTATATTATTTTAAGACATGGAAAAACAGTAATATAATTGGAAAAAAAGCAAATTATAACAATATACATATAATGTGACCAACCCTTCAATTTACATATACCCATTTATATGACTGGAAGAAAAAAACAAAATATCAGAAGCAGAGATCTCTAGGTAGTAGGATTTTGGGTTATTTTAATTTTGTTACTTATACCTTTTGGTATTTTAGAGGTTTTCTTTGGTACTACTAATCTTTAAGTAAGAGGAAAGAGATTTTATATATATGGAAGATTTATACTCCTAGTTTTAGTAAGCCACATGTAAGATGTTCCTATTCTGACTGAAACCATAGGCTATCTGTAGGGTACCCCTCCCAATCATGCCTGCACAGAATATTGACAAATTATAAACATCTAAGTATCTATGGCACTGAATACTATGGCAAGGGACTGTTGAGAATGTAGCACTCAAGATGTTTCAATACACTATGGGTGGATATACAAGATACACATGAGGTTTAAGGAGAAACAGAAAGCAAACAAATGAATGGAATCAATGTGGTGTTGTGTTAATGAAACATCAGCAACAGAGAAATGCATATTTAGTATATATCATTCTAAAACAAAGTATGGTAACTACAAAAAAAACCTACTTAATAAAAATGCTGAAAAAAGTAATGAAAGCACTAATTATTTAATGAAATTAAATTGTAGAATAAATAAAAGATGTAATAACGTTAAAAAAAATAAACTGAAAGCAAAGTCCTACAAAATAAAAAGTCCTTACAACAAAAACAAGAGCTTACAGTAATGTCCGGGATGGGGCGGCATAGGCGGGTGGTGCTGAAGATGGCCGTTTTGGTGGTGAGGCAAATTAGGTGTGTATGGAGCAGTCCTACTTCCAGTCCAGGTGGTAGTGCTGTCTAAAAATTAAGGCCCACATGGATTAATTTGCTTTTATAAAGGCTGCCTATTTTTCTCAACTATTTAAAATATTTTAAAAAGCATGTACATACTATGATGGTAAGTAGCTGGCTGACCAGTAAATCCATTCTGCTGCTGTCCTGGCTGAGGCCCTGAAGCTATTTGCAACAGTCCTTCACTATGACTACCTGCCAGAATACTGGCAGGCTGACCTAGAGAAACAAGAAGAAATTAACATGGTACACGTACAGATGCAATCCTATGATTTTATACAATTAATGAAGGACCAATTGTATCTGATAATCCACAACTATAAAGATGAGTTCCAAAAGTGGAACTCACCCATTGCCTATCAAATAAATAAATAAATAAGCTAAAGTCAGCTTTAAAGGCAATCCTTAATTTTAAGAAGTTCAAAATTATTTCATCTGATAATGTCTGACTAATTTTAATGGCCGATTTCTTCACAAATATTCTTCAAATGCTAGCCAAATCCTACTACTTGTCTACACTACCATAATAAGTTAAGAAACACATCAGTTAGCCACATCACCCAACTCTCTCTGGATATTTTTAAATTAGGACCTCTAAAACCCAGGTTCAAGAAAATGTTGAAATCTAAAAGTTAATTATTATCAGCACTAGTACTGGTAATGGCAGAAGGCTAGAGTTTGATAAAAGAAAAGCAGAGCAGACAAATATTTTAAATGGGATGCAATGGAGAAAGTGAAATATCTAACTCTACTGTGCAATCAAGTCAATATAGTATTTGTTTACAAAACAAAACAAAACCCTATCCATCTACTTTGAAATTTTTTCATGTGCTTTTAAAAACCAAGAATTATGCATTTTCACAAATGCCATCATAATTCCTATATTTATATGAAAGTAGATGCCCTCTCTCAATGCATCATACCAGAAAAAATTAAACTTCCCTTGGCTTTTATTCTACTCAAAACATTCTAAGATATTGTTTACTGTCTGGCATTTTTAAGGCTTTTTCCCCCACCTTAGGTGGAAAAGATTATTTCTTAAAGCAAGTATTAATTTTAAGCATTAACAAAGGTACCAAAATTAATTTTAAGGCAATTGTTTATCCTATTTAGAAAGCTTTGAAATTCCCTATGTTATTTGTGACTGGATCACCTCACTCTTCACATTTAGATGGAAATGTAATCAAATGGAAGAGAGTAAATGTCAACATTACTCAAAGTATCAAGAAAAAAAGGCATATTTTCCTCCTCTCTACATATCACATTTGTATAAAGCTAAGAACTATAAAATCAAATGCTAAAGAAAATGTTTTGATAACCCTCAACCTGTTTATTTTTAAAGATGTTCCTAAATCATCCCAAAAAATTCTCTTAAGTTTTCTTTAAAGGTCAGTTATGTTTTTGCTCTTGGTTTTAACACCTGTACAGACTATGTGCTCTTAGCTAACTTACAAAAACTGTCACTAAACTGGAGAAATTATTTTCATTAGAAGTATCTAAAAAGAAACTCTGAAGATTCAAGTGCCAAACTAAACAAATTATAAAGTGACAAACTACAGTCATCTGTATTGAATATTTACATTACATAGTTCCAAGTGTATCAGATAAACAACATAATGAATATAATGAAATTGGCTCATATAAAATAGCCTCAAATTCCTCTATTTTAGCCAGTTTCTTTTCTGCAATTCTATCAATATACTTTTTGTGATGTTAGGAAACACTGACTATAGTAGTTACTATTTAAAAACAAAAATTTACTCCCAAAATACAAAATTAGATGCATTTCACTCATAACACTTTTTCTGGTCTTCAAATAAGACGAAACCACAAGGAGCAAAACAGTTGAAATGAAGTCACTTTAATAAGCATTAACAAAGGTACCAAAATTTAATATCCAGGTTATATAAACAGACAGCTGTGCTCTAACACTAATCTATGCTCAAGCAGCTGTCATGTATCTCCTTTTATTCTCCATTTGTTTGTCAACCATACTCACAAATTGGTAACTAAAAAGTAGACAGTTCTCTGTGATTAAAGGTCCAAGTTTTAAAATGAATCCATATAGCCTACTTAAAAACACTATCCAACCAGGTGCAATGGTGCATGCCTATAATCCCAGTGGTTCAGGAGGCTGAGGCAGGAAGATCACAAGTTCAAAGCCAGCCTCAGCAAAAGCGACGTACTACACAAAGCAACTCAGTGAAACCCTGTCTCTAAATAAAATACAACATAGGGCTGAGGACGTAGCTCAGTAGTCGAGTGCCCCCGACTTCAATCCCCAGTATCCTAGTACCACCCCCCCCAAAAAAATATCCACAGTGAGATTTTCACATCTTGTGTTGCAAAACAAAAGATATTGCTTTGATATCACGAAATAGATTAAAGAGAAATGTTGGTATACTTTACTTGAAAAGATAAAGATACCAATCATAGATACCAATCTCCCATTTATTCCAAAGATCAAATTTCAATGTTGACTCGGACCTGATATTAAAGTAAACAGAATAATAGTCCCTTTGACAGCAACTAACAAAGTTACCAGTCTAAATCTATCAAATATCTACTGCTCATGTAGGCTTAAACACAATCCCTTTAGTATCCAGGTACAATTTACACCATACAGATACCAAGACAATGTTCTGTAATTCATTTTAAAAAAAATATTTTTAAAAAAGCTGTTTCACTTTCTAACCAGCAAACCGTTCAACCTTTGGTGATATGAAACTAAATAGCAATACTAAAAGAACAAGGTCATATTATCTTAGGCCTCCAAAAAATCTGAGCCTTGGCTGGGGATGTAACACAACAGTAGAGCACTTGCTAATTCTCAAAGGCCCTGGGTTCAATCTCTAGCACCTCAAAAGATAAAAGAAAAAGGAAAATCTGAACTTAATACCCCTCTGCCTCCTACAATATGGCAGAGAAGGTAACAACGCTATCATGGGAAAACTTCATTTGAAAAAGACTTATTTTTTAAGAAAAGAAGTAGTAATTATAAGATATTAGGAAAAAAGAGGTGTAGAATTTAGCTTTACATTGAAATTGACTAAAGCTGGGGCTGGGGCTGGGGCTGGGGCTGGGGCTGGGGCAGAGCAGTAATGCACTTGCCTGGCAAGTGTGAGGCGCTGGGTTCAATCCTCAGCACTGCATATAAATAAGTAAAAATAAAGGTCTATCAACAACAACAAAAAAATTGTTTTAAAAATTGACTAAAATAGTGTCTATCCAGTGGCATATATGTTATAAAAAAGTTTGTCAAGATCCCTTTTTCAAGCTGGGGCTGTATCTCAGTGGCAGAGCACTTGCCAACATGTGTGAGGCACTGGGTTTAATCCTTAGCATCACCCACCCCATCCCCACCGCCCCCCCCCCGGCCATAAAAATAAATAAATAAATATTAAGTCATGCTGTCCATCTATAACTACAAAAAAATTTTTTTTAATCCTTTTTCTCTAAGTTTGTACAATGGAAAATTGAGAGGACTATTTTAAAGCAATATTCTCCCAGATAAAGCAAACTAAAAACACTGGACTAAAGAAAGATTGCAATTCCTTAATAAGACCTTCATAAATACCTTGGTTCAAAACTACTTGTTAACTACTTAAATATTTCTCTAAAATCCATCAGGAGAACTGGGCGCAGTGGTGCACACCTATAATCCCAGCGGCCTCCAGCCAGCCACATCCAGGCACTAAGCAACACAGTGAGACCCTCGTCTCCAAATAAAATACAAAATAGGGCTGGGAATGTGGCTCAGTGGTTGAGTATCTCCAAGTTCAATCCCCAGTACTAAAATAAATATATAATAAATAATATATATATAATAAACAAACAGAAATATAAAATAAATAATATAATAAATAAAATATCTGGAAAACTTAAGATACTTCTTACTCTTGCATATATTAGTAAATAAAAGACAAATTCGATCATTAATATAAATGTGTGTCATAATCAAATCCATCAGTCAACTTCCAAATGATTATATATATATGTCAATATAAAAACCTTTAAATAAATTATAAACACCATTTTTTCCAGGACCAACTAAAACACTTGTCCAATATTTGTTTATCTTGGGGCAGGAGAGTATGTCTGGCTCTGTGGTATATAATGCTTGCCTAGCCGTACCAGGCCATGGGTTTGATCCCTAAGTTCACCTATGAGAGATACCACAGTACTTTTAACTTTGACTTTCTTGGGGTTTTCCTCTAAGTGACAATGTATAAATATTCATTGGTTAGGAAGTCAACTTGCTGACTACATCAGATTATATAACTTACTTGTGGAAGCCACAGGAATGTTGGGAAAGTTGGTGGTGCTGGTAGCATTTGACTCAGATGGGGCTAAAAGAGCTGGGGTACTGTATGTCTCCGTCGAAGCACGATTACTTGGTGGATGCTGGATGGTTTGAATTGAATGTCCTTCTGTGGATAATGATGGCTGTCCCTCAAAGTCATGAACATATTCATCCTTCACCAACATACTTGGTGGAGCTATGCAGAAAATTAAATATTTTTTAATTTTGCAAGCTTCTATTCCCAGGGGGAGAAACATATTTGCAATAATATGACAACCCTAAAATCAACTATTCTATAAATATTCTATCTTTCAATCTTTGAAAAAAATCTATCCCATATAAATACCAATTAGTTATATGACTATTACTTTTTCATATTTTAAAAGCATACTATTGTATCAGCAAAAACCATTTAGAGGTATTAGGATATTAGGATCAGTTATCTTTTATCAATCTGTCTCTGACTTTTGAAGCTAGACTATATTCCAACAGCCTCCACAGCAATGGTCCTTAAGAGGCAATCCTCAGTTTCTTAGTAAATCCAGAAGTAATAATCATCTAAACAGATAACATTAAGAAGGTAAAAACCAAATGCCTGGCAAAATATTTATTCAACTGAAAAGACCAATTACTTAGCTCTTTTTTAATTTCATACTGTAAAGATATGAGTGGGATCTGATAGCTTATTCAATTTCAGGATCTAGTATTACTGTTAAGTAACATATTTCTTAAAATTGAAATATATAAATATCCCCAGTAAGTTTAGAAACAAACAAAAATCCTTTAAAATTTCCCTCTAGAAACCCAATCCATAAAAGGAAATCTGATAAACATGTGGTATGAAAAAACTCACTTATCAACATCTTTCACTTGTGTGGTTACAATTTAATAAGTAAACTAGACTCTAGTTGAAAAAGCATAATCCTTTTCCATTAACAAACTTGCATTTAAAAAAATGCATTAACGGGCTGGGATTGTGGCTCAGGGGTAGAGCATTTGCCTCATATGCATGAGGCACTGGGTTTGATTCTCAGCACCACATAAAAATAAATAAATAAAGGTATTATGTCCATTTTTTTAAAAAATGCATTAACAAACTAAGGAATGCTTTGTTGCATTAAAAAAAGAGGAAAAACTGAATTGTATTCATAATGTCAATTTTCCACCTAGAAACTCCCCATTTGGCTTTGGGCTACTGTTTTGGGATTTGCTTTCTCTCTAGCAAAACCATCCCTTACTCTCTCTGAACTACTCCAGAATGTTACAATCCAGTGAACTCTGGTATTAGGTCTCTTAGAGCAATCAGTTATAATCCACAAAGACACTGCCCTTTCCACTAAGAACCAGCATATCACTTATCTTTCCCCATCTTTCAATCTTTGGAAAAAATCTATTACACATAAATTTTCAGTTAATTATGTGACTATTTTTCTTTTTACTTGAGACTACTTCAAAGCAGTAAGAATAATCCATTGTTCAAATTTCTATGTACAACCTCTTAAAAAGCATTTTAATGTATCAAAAGGAAGATGTTGGTATTTTTAAGACCCATTAATTCCACTCCAAAGTTTCTCTTTAGAAAAGTCTATGGAAATAAAAAGATAATCAAAATAATGCTTAACACATCAGCATGTATCAGCAAAAAATTGGACATAACCACTCACAATTAATGTTGGCAAAAGTATAAAAATAAGACAAAAGAAAAAATGTGGCATAAAATGGCTATTGTCCACATTTAGTCAGCCTTTTATTATACCCTTCGACAAAGTTCTGCAATTTTCTTCATACAGATCCTAACATCTCTATTTAAATTCTTGGACATTTTAGCATTTTTCTTGTTATCATGATTGAGATCTTTTTGCTGATTCCGCATATAAGGACAACATTACTGATTGGAGGCTATAACCAGTCAACTTGCTACTCACTGCTCATTTTTCAGTTGACCCTGAAATGGCTTAATGGGCAATCATAACATCCCCTTAGACAGTTAGGTCTTAAAAAGTTCTTCTTGCCTTACTATGGTGGCTCAACTCTCCTAAGTGTAAGTTTGGAACTTCTACAGATCTATGGATTTTTTAAATCAAATAACCTAAAATATATATATCGTAGGTAAACGATAGTATCAACAAGGATAGATGTATCTGTGATATATTTTTGCCAAGAGAAAAAAAAGAAAGTTTCAAATCATTATTGTATGCTGTGGTCATATACATGTTTTAAAAATCATACACTATAAGTAAAAAATCAAGGTCCAGAACAGTGAGTACAGTATGCTTTTTGTGTAAGAAAGGAGGGAAATAATACATGTATTTTTTGCATAAAGAAATCCTAGAAGGAAACACCAGAAACTAATAAAAGTGATTACCTGAGGTAGGGGGGAATGGGGGCAGGGGTGGGAGCACTTCTTTTCACTGTATACCTTTTTATAGTATTTTGATTTATGGACCATGTATTGCCTATTCAAAAAAATAAAATTAAAAAAACATATAGCATATATTTTTTAAAGTCCAGAAAAACAGACACCAAACTGTTAAGTACTTCTCTTATGGGCTAGCAGTCAATAAGTTCATTAATTGAAAAAAATATTTATTGAGCACCTATGTTCCAGGTACTATTCTAGCACTAAGGATATAGCCACAAACAAAACAAATATTCCTTACTTTATAGAGCTAACAATCTTTTGTAATATTTTTCTGTTTTTTAAATATCTAATAGCAAGCACATATTACTCCACCTCCTCCTTTCTAATACTGGGCCACATCCTTGACCTCTCCAGGCACCAGTCTCTTCTTCTAGTAAAGTGTTAGATAATCCCATCTATAATGTGGGAGCACTGAGAGAATGATAATACAATATTCACAAGTTATTTTGCTCAGTACCTGATAAACGAGTACTCAGTATTTGCTATTATTATTCAATCATATTTTTAGAATATTTGTACATATAAAGTGACTACAAAATGTTCTATGAGGGGTAAAGAATGTACTCTCTGTAGATGACAGAGAGGCTGAAGCCAGTGGACTTGCCCTAGGTCTTTGATCTTTATCTTTAGCAGGCAGGTCACAATAATGTCTGATGTTACTGTCAACTCTGTTACTTACTATTTCTTTTTTCAACCAGACTATGAACTGGAGAAAACATGGTTTATTTATCTTAGTGTTCCTGGAACCTAACAAGTACCAGGCAATACATGCTCATTAAATATTTATAAAATGAATACACAGGTCAATATGGTCATGGAAAACTTCATGAAAGAGATGAGACAGGTTAGAAACAAGTACCTCATGACCCCCAAATCACAAGTGAAAGAACTGTTCCATTTTCTCAACTTTTAGTTACCTGGCCATGTATTATTTCTTTATCCAAAACTAGAATGAACTGTGAGAAATATCTTTTTCTGAGAAATACCATTTTCTGAGGAAATAAGCCACAAGACAGCCTTCGCATACCACTAGAGGGCTCCACAAGGCTGAATAAGCCTTAGAGTCACTAAAAAAAAGGCATCAATCCACACAACCCCACCAATAGCAAGCAACTCAGAACAACATTAATATTAGGACAGAGAAAGCTTCAAAATTTGAACCCCCTCACAACTACACCCACTGAGATATTCTAAAGTTTTCACTGCAGTCTTCTAATTCCTCACATGCACTGAGCTAAATGCTTTAGTTCTCCAAAAACACTGATGGGAGAATGGTGAAGATCTGATAGATGTTCACTTTCAAAGAAGAGAACTGACATGATAACACCTATGTGGCAAAAAGGCAGGGCATTAAGCAATCTTAAAGCAACCATTGCCAGACCAAGCCACACAACTCCCTTTACCAACCCATACTTCTCAGAAATCTGTATAACAGTTAACAATGGCACACCACAGGACACTGTACAGTCTTCCTCTATTATTAATGACATGAAAGAAAAGTAAAGAATTAAAAACAAGAAGGCTTACATGCTCTTCCCAAACTTTAATGTCACATGATATTTCTGAGCTATCACTAGATTTTACAACAAAAGAGGTTCCAAGTGACTAAAATGCCTCCATAATAGCATACCTTCTAAAATGAAGGTGGCTCTTATAAGATTTTATTTCATTAACAAGTTCTAAGTAACAGAGCTAAAGATATATTCATATGTATCAACACACTTAAAATACAAAAACACACTCCAACTGGATTTTTTTTTTCTCACCTTGAGGGAATTTTTCTTTCTTAATACAGGATTAGATCATCTGTGATTAGCATATACTTTCAAATAACCTTGTTTTAGTTACAAGTGAAATATAAAACAAGATATTTCAAGATACATAACATATTTGAAATATAACAAGATTGAAAAAAACTCTAACATGTAATTTTAAATCATTCCCCACATTTGATCACTCATGAAAGTTATGTTGAAATGCAGAAAAACTAAGACACTAGTATTTTTAAAGGATATGTTTCACATAACTTCCAATTATCACATATTATAGGTATACTTACACCCATTTAAACTGGCTCTACAAATTTTCTAACAAAATAGAGCCAGTTTTATCAAATTCAAAAAATATTAAATTGATGTATTAATGTTTTTGGTGCCACTTCAAATTCAAAGAGCCAATAGCCAATTTAAATCCAGTTTTAAACACTGATACATACAGAAAAAAATCTACATTTCCAAAGTAGTTCCTTTTTTTCTTGTTAATATTACTGACCCCTAAACAAACTACTTCATATGAATCCAAAAAAAAAAGAGCAGACAGGAAAAAAGAAAACAAAGAAAGTTACAAGAAACAGATTACCTACCATTACTCTGCAGTGTTAATCCTGAGAGATCTTTATTTTTTAAAGGGAAAAAAAATGAAACATTAATCATTATCATGAAGATATGTTCCATTATAGAATGTAAATTTAAGTCAGAGATTACAAACCTTCATAAACATTTCAATTCAGGAAGTTTCATAAGTGACATCTAATAATATATAAACTATTTGAATTTATAATATTTTCTTATTTTTCAAAACCAATGTGCTAAATGGGCAAAATATAAACTATACTTAGTTTTCACATTCAAAATACAAGTTTTGTTTCTAAGTTCAAAATTAAATACTTATATTTCATTAAAAATATTTGATTCTTGGGGCTGGGGTTGTGGCTCAGCAGTAGAGCACTCGCCTAGGACATTTGAGGGCCTGGGTTCGATCCTCAACACCTCAAAAAAATAAATAAAGGTATTATGTCCAACTACAACTAAAAAAATAAATAAATATTTTTAAAAACATATTTGATTCTTTAACCTTAAAGTTCTTGGTAACTCCTAAATACTTAATTTAACTTAGAAGAACTAAAACCCTATTGGGGTCTTTTCCCTTTATGCACTTAAGGATAGAAGTAAAGTCTACTTACCAATTCCAGGTGATACAACTCGTTCATAGTGATATGGATTCACACAAACACTATCACATTTTAAGTCAAATGCATACTGACAATATTTAACATGCTTTAATTCATTTTTGTGAAGATCAGGCCACCTCCACAGACGGGCATAGATTACATGAGGAAATCCTTTCCGACCAGCCACCTGGGGAAAATAAACAATCATTTATTAAGCATTGGTTATATATTAAGAATCAGCTGTGTGCCCCAGGTTATACAAGGAACTTTACAGATGTTTTCATTTAATTTTCAAAATCCAACAAAGTCAGCATTATAACACAGTAAAATATACATTTGGTTTTGTTCCATTTCCTGGCAGACAATTCCTAAAATCTTAGAATCTTTAAAGTGATGGGTTTTATATGCTAATGAGTTGGCTGAAGACTGGAAGACTAGGTAGCTGCAGGATGGGGGCTGTTTATTGGAAAGACTAAGGCAGCATAAGAGGGTTGGAATTCAGCCCCATTCCCCAACTTCTGAGAGGAGAAAAGAGCTATAAATAGAGTTGATCACCAATAGACCAATGATTTTAATCAATCATACCTTAGTAATGGAGCCTCCATTTAAAAAAAAAAAAGAACAGGGTTGGAAAAGCTGAACATGTGGAGGTTCCTGAAAGGTGGTGGGCCTGGAGAGGGCTTAGATGCTTACCTCACCTTATGCATCTCATCCTTCACAACAAACCAGTAAATGTGTTTCCCCAAGTTCTGTGAGCCACTCAAAGCAAATTAATCAAACCCCAGGAAGGGGATAGGAACCTGATTTATAGCTGGTGGGTAAGAAGCACAAGTAAAACAACGTGAGGTTTGTGATTGCATCTAAAGCCGGGAGAGGAGGGTGGCAAGTCTTGGTAACTGAATCCTCAACCTGTGGGTCTGCCACTATCTCCAGATAAGAGAATGTAAGAACTAAACTAAATTAAAGGAAACCCAGCTGATGTCCCCTGCAGAATTAATTACTTGTTTGCTTACTGGTGTGAAGAAACCTTTACACAATTTTGGGTCACAGAAGTAATTAAGTATTGTGAGTAGAGAACAAGAAGAAAATCTGAGTTTGAGCAGTTTTTTCCCCTATATTCAGAATATCATAACCCTCATTTCATAAAAGAGAAAACCACAGCTCAAAATAACTCCGTCATGGTCACACATCAGTTAGAATTTAACCCTACATATAATTTTAAGACTTATATTCAGATTTTAAAAATGTAAAAAATAGGATGCTGGGTGCAATGGCACATGCCTGCAATTCAAACAATTTGGGAAGCTGAGACAGGAGAATCACAAGTTTCAGGCCAGCCTTGGCAGCTTAGCAAGACCCTGTCCCAAAATAAAAAAATGAAAAGGGCTAGAGATGTAGCTCACTGGTAGAGCACCTCTGGGTTCAATACCCAGTACCCCAATAATAAAATGAAATACAATAGTACAAATTTGTTATTGAAACTATGACCAAAATCTACAAATAAAATTTTTAAATCTAACAATATAAGATTTCTGTAAGTATCTTAAAATATATATTATATAGTTCCATATAAAAACTGTCCAGCGAAATAATGTGGTACCACTAAAACATGATACGAGATCTCTAAATGGTAAAAAGATAATGTATAATTCAGATTTTAAATATGTATACAATACCAAAAATGGTTTATAAGAATGAATATCAGAGTGCTGAAGGCAGTTCTCTCAGAGTATGGGACTTCTTCTGCCTTCTATTTGTATATTCCAAATTGAACTATTTTTTTTGTTTGTTTTGTGGTACTGAGGATTACACCCAGGGCCTTGTGCATGTGAGGCAAGCATTCTACCAACTGAGCTATATCCCCAGCCCTTCACTGAACTATGTTTGAGTAAGATTAATTAAAAACTTTTTAAATATACCCTTCATACATTCCCATAATGCATGCATACTGGTATAGAATGTGAAGTATCTAAAGAAATGGACCTCACATTAAATATCCTAAGTAACTCTAAGAGGAAACAAGAAAGTTTTTAATCCACCACCACAGAAGACATAGAAAAACTCTAAGACTAACCTGAAGTCTTCCATCCAATGTTCTCTGTATTGTAACACATTTACTAGGATGAGCTCCATTTGTAGTTATAGCTGTTATTAAAGAATCCAACTCATCTTTCTTCTCCTTCAGCTTCTTTACCAAACTTTCAATTGCTCTTTTTGCAAATGTTTCACTTTCTCCACCTTGTCTATGGCACATCAAACTATGTACAATGCTCAGGCAGGCATCATTACTTGTTGGTGTATTTGTAATAGACATATTGTCCATTTGTTCAAGTTTTTTCTTTTAAATCAAATCTCTCTCCAATTATCTGGAGCAATTTTGATCTTTTGGAGGCAGTGAAAAACAATGGCTAACGTTGCAAGGAAAATTGTTAGACATCTGGTGTTCAGGATAACCTGAAAAAATAAATAGAGAGATATGAGAACACATCTCAAAGGTAGATTCAGTTATCTGGGAAAAGACACAAAACTGCTGTAGTGAAGTCAAAGACAATGCACATAATTAAAAACTGATGCTAAGAGTTTTAAATAGTTTAATTAAAATGTTGCTGCTTTTTTATTTTATTTTATTTAGTTATTGATAGATCTTTATTTTATTTATTTATATGTGGTGCTGAGAATTGAACCCAGTGCCTCACCATGGTAGGCAAGCACTCTACCAACTACAGTCCCAGCCCCAATGTTGCTCCTTTTGACATTCCAAAATATTAAAGTTAGGCCTTCTCCTTAGTATAAAGTCATGCTTAATCAAGTCTTATCACACATACTAGTCAGTTGTAAAATCTTTTTTTTGGGGGGGGGGGAGTACTGAGAATCAAACTCAGGTCTTCAGAACCTGCTAGATACATGCTCTTCCACTGAACTACACCCCTAACCCCCTAAAGTAAAACTGTGACTTATTTATGTCTCCTTTCTATTCTCTCTGTCACTGCTAGTTTTAAGTCTTCTTAGAATTTTTATTATCACTTGGTATTTAATACTTGCTTCCCTCTAATCTTACTTCTTTTAATAAATGCCTGCCTCCTCAACTTATAAGAAGCAACTTTTCATGTATTTGAATACTTATCACTTAACCATATTCAACAAATTTTGAAGGCACTCTTGCCAGTTAATCAAAGATTACTTGCATGGGGGGTTTTGGAGTCAGAGATCTGGATTAGAATCCCAGCTTTCACACTGAGAGCAGTCAGACAGATGAAGCAACTTAAACTCTCTTAACTGGAGTATACAAAGCTCCAAGGAGGAAAAAAAAAAATCTATGTAAAGTGTACGGCACATAGTGCTCAGCAGAAAGTACCTATTGCTTATTTAATAAGCAATAATTTAATTGTCTTAAAAGATTATCCTAAAACACATTATGTTTTCTTCTTATTAAAACTTGTCAAAGAAAATGTAGGATGGGAATGACAGAAGTAAACCACTGATCCAGACAACTCAAAGGCAAATTATATAAATGAACAAAATGTGCCAGGTGTAAAGAAAAAGTATTGACCCAGCAGCTTGGGAGGCTCAGACAGGAGAATTTCGAGTTCAAAGCCAGCCTCAGCAACTGCGAGACACTAAGCAACACAGTGAGACCCTATCTCTAAATAAATTACAAAAAATAGGGCTGGGGATATGGCTCAGTGGTCCAATGCCCCTGAGTTCAATCCCTGGTACCAAAAAAAAAAAAAAAAAAAAAATATCGAGGATTACAAGAGTATGCCAATTGTGACACACTAGTATTTAAGACTGTTAGCCCACAGCTGCTAGATCTTCAACTGAAAGAGAAACAAAAATAAATAAATAAAAATTGCCCATAGGTATATGAAATCTCACTTTCAGGCAATAGTAATTTATCACAGGGAAAAGGAGGAGGAGGAAGCATAAGGAAACTGCCATGAATGCCAAACAAAATACAATTTCAACTCAAATCTGACCCAACAGAATGACCAGTTTGAAATGTGAAAGACAAACTCACTAGAATTTTATTTCTAGATCGCAGTCTAGTGAACAGGGACTGTACTTGTCTTCACCACTATATGCCCAATTCCTAGGACAAATAAGTGCTCTATGTTGTCAAATGATTCCATTTCTGTATGTGCTTTCAAATGCTTGCTCATGCTTTTGGGCACTGGCAGGTTACTGGTGAATGAACCCAGGGCCTCCCACATGCTAGCTAGGCAAACCATCTACTACTGAACTATCCTTTTTATTTTGAAACAAGATCTTTATTAGTTGCCCAGGCTGGCTTCAAAATCGTGATTCCCCTGCCTCAGCCTTCCAAGTAGCTGGAAAGTATATACCACCACACCACACTCAGCCAGCTTTTTCTTTTGCCTAAAATATTTGGTCCCATTTTATCCACTCAATAAAATCCTAGCCATCCTTCAAAGTGCAGCTTGTTTAAATTTCTCCAAGTTTTTCCTTACATGTTGTCTCCTTTCCTCTCAATCCCCAAAAATTACTTGCTTCCCCAGTATGTTCATTATGTATGTGTTCCTTGCTGTGTAATTTAATCTTCAACTTTAAATACACCCTATTACAGTTTAACATGTATTTTTTTATTATATCCTACAAATCTAGAAGCTCAAGAAAACATTCTCTCATCTTAGAAATTCCTAGCCACAGGTATAGTTCCTGCCTGACATATACAAGGCAAGTGTTTGTAAATTGACTACATCATTTTTATTCTGTGTTATTTTCTGAAAATAATTTTTGAATATTGAAAATATTATTTTTGTATTCATATTATATCCCAAAACATTTGTACCAATTTATAACACAATTAAAGTGTTTCAGTATAAACACTTCACCATCAAATGTCACCATCTCTAAAATTTATTCTATTTGGGGGCTTAATGATATTGCAAAGGTGTGCTTTAATTACAAGTTTCTTTCACGACAAATGAAAATGACATTGTTTTCTTAAATACAGATGTCTCCACATGTGACTTCACTATAGTTCTGGTGCTTGAAACATTTTAAAACGTCTTTTTTTTTTTTTAAGAGAGAGAGAATTTTAATATTTATTTTTTAGTTTTTGGCGGATATAACATCTTTGTTTGTATGTGGTGCTGAGGATCGAACCCGGGCCGCACGCATGCCAGGCGAGCGTGCTACCGCTTGAGTCACATCCCCAGCCCTAAAACTTCTTTATATAGAAAAATAATACCAGCAGGGATTTGAGGATGTATCCCTCCATTATAGCTCTGAATTATGGTAAGCATAAACACAATACTGTTATAAACAAAATTATATGTTCCAATTAAAGCTCTAGCACTATGAATAGATGTGTTATCTCTCAATTGTCATTATATCATCTATAAAATGGGAACAAAATCTGCCCTGCCCACTTTACAAGACTTAATATTGTAATCAAATACAACATAAAAGCAATCTTGAAACCATAAATTGACCAACTCAACAAACACTGTATCTATCATGTGCAAAACACCACAAAAATAGGCAAACAAAACCAGAGAGTGGTACTTAACTGTATCAGACCATATCCCATTTTTGAAACAAATTATTTATACCGCCTCAGTAGCTCTCTTGTGGTAGCCCATAATCCCAGCAGCTCAGGAGGCTGAGGCAGGAAGATGACAAGTTCAAAGCCAGACTCAGCAAAAGCAAAGTGCTAAGCAACTTAGTGAGACCCTGCATTAAATAAAATACAAAACAGGGCTACAGATGTGGCTCAGTGGTCTAGTGCCCCTGAGTTCAATCCCTGGTACCTTTCCCCATCCACCCCAAAAATGAAAAATTCTAACTTACTTACACCTATTTTTAAAAACCTAGCAATGTCCTTATTGTAAGTTCAAGGATGAAAAGATCAATACACAATAAAAATGTATATTTCAATATGCAGGCATATCAACTAACTTACAATGTTTACTAAAGAAATTAGAGACTGGTGATGTAACTCCGTGGTAGGGTACATGATTAGCATGCCCAAAGCCCTGGATTCAATCCCCAGCACCAAAAAAGAAAAAAGAAAGCAGGAAGTTTAAATGCTTGCATTTAAATACAGAATCATAAATAAGAAGCTACAAATTCAGACCTTCTAAGATATACTTATCTTATATATATAATGATGTGTTGGTGACCCACACTGTCCCAAACAGTGAACTTCTGATAAAGTTCCAAAGAAAAGAATTTTAATTAAGAAACTGAGTTAAAGGGCTGGGGATATAGCTCTGTTGGTAGAGTGCTTGCCTTGCATGAACAAGGCCCTGGGTTCAATCCCCAGTACCATGAAAAACAAAAAAAGGAAATGAATTAAGAAAATAGAATTCCTAGAAAATTGGGTATATATTAAGACAGAATTGAGTTCTAGACTAATTTCCTCCTACACATATTTCTGGGACATTTTAAAGGCTTGTGAGATGCAAGATAATTCTTCACTGTCTCCCCCAGACCCCAGCCATGAAGCTCCTCTCACAAATGACCACAATGCCCCTTCAGGACAAATTACAACTCCATTAAAAATTACTGATCCTGGCTGTGCATGATGGCTCACACCTGTAATCCCAGTAACTCAGCAGATTACAGGTTCAAGGACAGCCTCAGCAACTCAGCAAGATCCTGTCTCAAATTTTTAAAAAATAAATTAAAAAAAAAATTTAAAGGAAATGTGGATGTAGTTCAGTAGTTAAGTGCCCCTGAGTTCAATCCCAAGTACTAAAAAAGAAAAAAAAAGAAAGAAAAAAAAAGAATTACTGATGCTGGTCAGCATGGATGTATGCATATAGTCCCAGGGACTCAAGAGGCTGAGGATGGACAATCATTCCTGGAGCCCAGAAGTTAAGGCCAGTATGAACAACACAATGAGATTTCTTTTTTTTTTTTTTTTGGAAAGGCAGATATTGGGGATGGGGGTATCAATGGTAGAATGTGTCCTTTGAATAACAAAGAACTTGTGTTCAATCTTCACACCCAAAGGAAAGAAAACCTTATCTAGAATATCTAAACATATTATCAAAAAAAAAAAAGCTAAAAGAGATGTATAATTCAAGTGATTTGCAACTATAAATGAGAAAGCATGAAAAGGTTATAGGTAATCTAAGTCTTGTCATAATATCAGGATAGAGCAGGCTTTATTAGTTACAACCAACCCTCAATTCATCAATAGCAAAAGAGAAAAAAAAAATCATCAATAGCTTAAAACAAAGATTTTATTTTCTGCTTATGCTATTTGTTCATCACAGATCACCTGGTGGCACTGTTCACTGTCATCTCTTTTAGGGATTACACTGATAGAGGCTCCAACTCTACATATGTCCTTAAATAGGAGGGAAGGAATAAGACAGCTCATACACTATCTTTTAAAGACTATTAGTTATGCTCAAATTTGACTGGTTAGTCAAATGGCCATGCCAGTAATTCTCAACTAGGGGCAACTCAGTCACTCAAGGGACATCTGGCAGTACCTGT